TACAATAAATTCAAACCCCTAGTCAAGAGTTTTAGTAGAGAAAACCCAGAAAAGAGATAGAGGAACTTTTTACTTACTTTCTTTGTACTCTCTCCGCTCTCTCTTGTGAGACCCTTTTTTTTCTTCTTCTTCAAAACATTATAACGCGGCATATTTATCGAAAAATCACTATTTTTTATTTACGTGTCAGACACTGTTAGAAAAAATATTACGGATCTAGCACCCTTTGCAGAAAGGCGCGGCTCATGCATCGCGCCTTATGCTGATGTGGCGCCACGTGTTGAAAGGCGTGACCCATGAACCGCGCCTTACGCCAGCTGGAGCCACATCAACGTAAGGTGTGGTGCATGGGTCGCGCCTTTCTACCAGCTAACACACGCTCTAGAAAGGCTCGGTTCATGAGTCGCACCTTTCATAATTGTATCTGAATTTCTCGCTTTTAAACTTTTCCCTCAGCTATAAATAATACGCTCTTAACCCGTAAACATCACCCAACAATCCTCTTATCTTTGATTCAGAAGTTTGTTTGATCTTTCGTTGTAAGGTATTTTTTTAATATATAATATTTTTTATATATGATTAAATAATACGCTCTCAACCCGTAAACATCACCCAACAATCCTCTTATCTTTGATTCAGAAGTTTGTTTGATCTTTCGTTGTAAGGTATTTTTTTAATATATAATATTTTTTATATATGATTATTTGAAAAAATTATTGTGTTATATTTTAATTCATATTTTATTTAAATTATATTATTTAAATTATTTACGTTTATTTGTAAAAAATTTATTGCGTTATATTTTAATTCATATATTATTTATTTAATTAGGCTTATTTCAGTTTTTTTTTTTGCAGATATAAGATTGTCTCCCTTTTAAACTCTCAAAATGACGCGAATTTCAGCTATTGTTTACTATAATGGAGAAATTCGGGAAGATGAAACCAACGTTGTGTTCGTATCAAATCATTCTATATCCTTCAAGAGAAACATAACTCTTGAGGAGCTAATAATGAAGATTTCAAGGAAGGTTCATGTTGGAAGTACTAGAAGACTGTCGTCGCTTCGATATAGATTTCCAACATCAGTGTTTCTATTAACTTATATAACGTTCGATCTATCGAACGATGATGATGTCAAAATGATGGTTGATTCTCAAAATCATTATTCAGATGCCGATACGGAGATGAATGCAAAGTTTGTTGAAGTGTGTATTGTTCGGGGTATGTCATTTAGCTCCCACTATGGGCTGGCTCAACAAGCTGATCAAGTTGGCAGCCAAACTACTATAATGTGTAATGATTTTAACGCCATAATGGGAAATCTGCATCATGGTTCCATCCCATCATGTTCAATGGGAAGACATTCATCAACAACTCCTTACGATCTGTACCGAGGTGGGTCTACAAACAATACGTATGGCAATATCGCGTCTAGTTTAAGGGGAAGACATTCATCTATCAATTTCTTTGACCTAAATATGGAGATTCCCTCGAAGCATCAATTTGTGCAGTTTCCATTTGACACAATGGCTTCAAGCTCCAGGGGAGGCATTCTACTACGAGCTTCTTCAATGTCAATGTCGATATGCCTTCGAGTTCAAGGGAAAGGCATGCAAGTACCAGGTTGTTTGACTTAAATGTGGACAGCATGGAGGAACCCTCATCTCCACCAGAAGAATCACTTCGTGAGCCAGGTGTGAATAGTGCTGAGACTGGACTATTTGTTCACCTAGAATCACCGTAGTTCACATATACTCCGATGACGATGATGATGTAGATGAAGTTCCCACAAATGTGGTACATACTGAACCTCCAGTACACATGTATGAAGCAGACTATGGTGCAATGTACGAGCCAAAATTTGCGGATATGCCTAATCTCGGCGACTATGGATTTAACTCATCAATAATTAATTGTGGGTTATATTTAGGCATGGAGTTTTCAAGCAAAGAAGAAGCGATGATGGCAATAAAAAATTAAAATATTTTTTATTCTGTTCAGTCCAGAGTTGACTGCTCTACGACCAAAAAGTGCCACTATGTCCAACGTGAAAACTGATGCAATTGGATGGTTCACGTATCGAAGAGGAAGAGGAAAAACAATAAAAATGAATTAAAGTTATATAATGGTCATCACACATGTTGTGCTGGAGGGATCAACCAAGATCATCCCAACTTGGACTCCGAAATGATCTGCCAAGCCATCATGCCCATGGTAAAAGCAAGCTCTCATATAGCTATTGATGTGTTGATTTCAGCTATACAATCGCAGTATGGGTATCCCGTCTCATACAGAAAAGCATGGTTGGTAAAGCAGAATGCGATTAAAAACTTCACGGCAAATGGGATGCATTTTACAACGAACTACCAAGTTGGTTTAGGGTGGTGCGGAGGTTGAATCATGGGACAATTGTGGACTTCAAAACTTGTCATGCATATTATAATGATCGAGTTCTTCGCGATCGATGCCAATTCTACCAGCTTTTTTGGACTTACCCACAGTGCATTAATGTTGTGAAATACTGCCAGTCTGTGGTCCAAATCAACGGGATAATCTTGTATGGAAAATACAAGCAATTTTACTATTGGCAATTGTCCAAGATAGTAATCGCAACATTCTTCCAGTTGTTTTTGCCCTTGTTGAAGGAGAAGATACAAATTCTTGGTCTTTTTTCCTCCGAAACTTATGCTCACATGTTATCATGAGGGAAAAAATCTGTCATTTCAGATCACGGAACAGGGATCAAAGCAGCAATGGAGTCTTTGGGTCCAATGTGGAAACCACTCTATGTCCAACATAGGTACTGTATCTGACACATTGCTACGAATTATCATGGAAGGTTCAAGAAGAATAATGAACGCCAATTACTTGTGCGCATGGGTATGCGAAACTGCTATTATATTTTTCTTTCAATCATTTTCATTTTTTATAGAAACATAGTTAGTAAGTTCTACATTTTATGCTCAGGTTACGAACTACTACCTCAAACATTTGAATCCATGCTTTAAGATTTGCGGTTGAAGAACAAGGAAATGTACGATTACATCAGCCTCATCAATAAAGAAATGTGGACAAAAGCATATGATGGTGGATATCGATATAGAAACATGACGACCAACTTGGCTGAGGCAATCAATTCAAACTTAAAGGGGGCACGTCATTTACCTCTAACAACTTTAGTAAAAACGACATATTTTTATTTGGGAGCGCTTTTTGCGAAGCTCGGGGGACAAGCTCAAACATGGATGCAAAACAGTCATGTCTATCACCCTAGATTAGTTACAGATCTACAAAAAAGAATTGTTGCATCAAATGGAATGTCTGTAACAAGCTTCTCTAGAACGCATGAATTGTTTCGTGTCACAGAGATGTTGTGACCTCTTCAAGGGATTGAAGCTAACTCGTTAAAAGTAAATCTATGGGACAAATGGTGCGACTGTGGGTTATTTCAAGCTTTGACGTATTCATGCTCTTATATGATAACAACTTGCTTGTATACCCGTCAAGATTATAACCGTTTTGTGGATCTCGTATACCTACTATCAGAAGTGTTTAAGGTATACAAATTTGAGTTCCCCCATAGGTAATGAGAAAAATCCTATTGAGGTTCAAAATTGGCTTCCGATTGTACCAGATCTGACTTTATTGAGGGACCGTGGTCGTCCAAAGTCCACTCGAATTCATTGTGATATGGATATTCCATAAACATCTAGATAAAACAAAAGATATGGGCATTGTAGAAACCCAGGACACAGTAGAAAAACATGTCCATCTCTTTTGTCATCAAGTAACCGTTGATGAGAAACTGATGAAGTTGTTGTTTATCAAAGAATAGTTCTTGTAATTTAATTCACATTTACTTTAATTTCATTTCATTTGATAACCATTGATTAATTAAACAAGAAAACGATACAAGAAAACGATGAAGAAGAACCATTCAAAGTCAAATTATCCATTAACATTGATAAATATAAAGATTTGACATCTATTATCATTACAATTATTAAGTTAATGCATCTTTTATATTTATTTAAATAAATGATATTGAAACAACTTTATTAAGAAAAAATGAGATTTGTTTTGACAAAGCTATGGTTTATATGACACATTTTTATTGGTACAACGGGATTCGACGTTGATGTTATATGTGATTAAAATAAAGGAGATAATAGGTGAGAAACTTAAAAAATTATACGAGTTTTACTCTAAAAAGACATGACACGTGATATATATTAAAACACGTATTTGTTCACGTATATGCATGAGTCAATCGAACGACGATAACAAAAATTTGTTGATGTTGAATTATCGAAGACAATTATTAAATTTTATCAAACTAATATCAATTCGGTATTTTAATATAATTTTAAATACAAAAAACTTTTAAAAGACAATTTTCTTTGATACATATATTTACTATTATTATTATAAAACGATTAAAAACACTAAATGATTATCACCATTCGCTTGAATTAAGTAATAAACAAAATTAACAAAATAAATTAAGTATTAAATGGTAAATATTTAAAAAATTACAATTATTTGTCCAACAAACAATTAAATACAAATATAATAAAATATCTGAATATATCGATGTTTGCATCTTGAATGTGTTCTGCAGGGCGGTGGTTGTCTGTCCCGAGGAGGATTTCTTCTTATAACTTGTTCTGACTCCTCACTATCATCATCTTCGTCGTCATCAGGAGCAGATACATTTTGTTGATGAGGAACTGATGATGATGTAGCACCTCCATAGAATAAGGACCTTGGAGGTATATGAATGACTATCCCACCGCTCATAGAAAACAGGGAAAACTGAGAAAACACAAACATCGATGAGTGAGAAAAATGTACAGGAGGTGTCTGTGCGGTGGCCATTGGTAGTGAGGTTGGACCTACCAAATAACTAGCTTATGAACCCCAAGTTAGATCTACAAACATAGAACCATAATATCCACCAAGAGGGGTCCATAATATCCACCAAGAGGGGTCATATAACTATGTGGCGGTGGTGGCATCTGGTATGGGAACGACGGTAGCGACATCTGATATGTTGTGTACCCATATGAACTGGCTGCGGGGTATACATTGTTGTAGACGGTGACTGCTGTGAAGGTTCTGATGCTGCAGCTGACGACGAATCGGAAGCACTTGCTCTCCGTCTACGAGTCGGGGGATGATGGGGTTGTGACGGTGCACGTCTCTATCGACGTCGATGAATGCTCCATCCTCGTGCTTCATCGGAAAGCATGAACGATTTCCCGTTATTGTTGAACCACTCGTAATAACCATCTGCAACCGTCAAATGGTCGACATAAATGGGTTCTCTACGGGGAATGCGTCGACGTCGATCCTCCCATATCATAACCCACTCATAATGTTTCAGCAGCCAATCTACATCTTTTTTACCGCGTCGATCAGTGTTATGCAACTCTTCGAGATTTTGAGGTGCTTTCAGAATTGATTGTACAAAACCAAATTATCGGAGCACGCGATCAGTGGGGTGCCACTCGACAATCGCATAACATATCAGAGGGACTACTACCATCCAAACATCTAATGGGCCCCTTAACTCATGTGGGATGCAAATCCTCATATCACCATTACAATAAGAAGCCCAGTCAAACTAAAACAAATATATATAATTCTTATCAAAATAATAATCTAATTATATAACGATAATACAAAATATATTTTCAAACATTTAAATACATACCTCTGTGTCATCCTTCTGATCAATTAGTAGCCTCATTAATTCTAATTCATCAGGTAAATCCCGTTGATTTTTCCTGTTAATAGATCACCTATTCAAAGGAATAATTTTTATTATATACTAGATAAAATGATTAATATACGAAATCAGTATTGTAATTACCTCAATAATAGCGAGAATATGAACGAGTTCTTCACAATAGGACATAAAAAGGGCATGCGATACCATGCCCAATAGTGCAACAGAAGGAGACACCCACCGATAGCATTTTTCCTATAGTCAGTAGCTTGACACATTTCCCTATACAGGAATGCCAAAATTACCGAGCCCCAACTCAGTGTTCCAGCCAGATGAAAATCGGCGAGATACCGCAACCACATACAGTAAACTTGGTTACGCAATTTATCTGGCATCATCAACCCTCCTATCACCTGTAGTATGCATGCATGTGCATACTTTTTTACCTGATCCTCCGAGGTGTCCTCACTCAAATTCTTGAAATTTACATCCAAACAATTTAATAGAATTCGACCACTGTTAAAATTTGGTTGTACACCTCTTAGATATTCCTGGCACAATGAATTCCAGTTACCGTGTGCCACCCCTGAAAGCACATCTCCATCTACCTGAAGCCCCAAGTGCATGGAAACATCCTCCAACATAATCATGCACTCTCCGCACGAAAGATGAAATGTGTATCTCCGGTCTCCACCTCTCAACTAATGTAGAAATCAGGTTTGGTTCTATCTTACAGTGGCCTTCATATTTAGCTACGTAACCGAATCCAACCTAGACTAAATACGGCTAGACATGGGTTGGTATATCTAACTTAAGGTTGCGGATAAAATGATTTAATATGCGGTCGCTCTCCTAAAATTATTAATAATTACAAAATTAATATATAAATTAATAATAAAAAATTAAATAAATAAATTATTACTAATAATTTAAATTAAAATAGAATTTAAAAATGTTATCGTATCAACAAAATGTCTCGAGATATGATTTCCATCCAAACGAAGCAAACCGCATTCCATTTTATAACTGCAAAAAAATTAATATAAAATAATTTAATAAAATACTAAAATATTAATTTAGTGGAATATAATATAATATATTACCTTTTAAATAAAATTTGATCGGGGTTTATCTTTAAGAGAGTTTAGTTTTTGATATGGTTTGAGAGGATTTGAGTGGAAATAGTTGAGAGGGGGTATTTATAGGATGAGGATGGGGTTTGGGGGGATGGGTGGGAGAGTGTTAACGGTTGGGATTTAATTATGAAAGACGCGGCTCATGAACCGTGCCTTTCTGGCGCGTATGTCAGCTGACAGAAAGGTGCGGCCTATGCATTGCGTCTTACGCTGTTGTGGTTTCAGTTGGCGTAATGCGCGGTTCATAGGCCGCGCCTTTTAACACGTTGCGTCACATCAACATAAGACGCGGTTCATGAACCTTACTTTTCTACAAATGATGCTAAATCTATAATATTTTCTTTAACGATATCTGACACGTAAATAAAAAACATTATTTTTTCGGTAAATACGCCCTCTAGCGTACTCATAAGTTAATGTTTTTAATGAATTTGAGCAAGCCCTTTTTCGTTTTCTTTCTGCTCAGTAACAGCGCAACTCTGCAACAAAACAGTAAAAAAAGAACCAGAGAAGAAAAAAGAAATAAAGGCGAGACTTTCATTACTTCAGAATCTAGATTTAGAGTGAGAGAAAAGAAATGGGTATTTGTCTATTTTTGAAGGGGAGAGAATCGAAAGGCAAAGGTCCTGCATTTATAGCCCACGCTTGTATTAAAAAGAGAGTTCTTTGATCATTAACCACCGCCACTGCCACTACAAAAATATTACTACAACCTCCCCCTCGCTTCCTTCAAAATCAAAGTCTGTAAATTTACTTTGTTATTGGTAAATATTTAGTTATAATTATACCCATTTGAGCTAGCAACTGACACTGCCAACTCTCATTAGAGGATTTTTCTTTTCTGTTGTAGCTATTATACTTTTTGATTATAAAAATATCTTGGGAGGAGAGCTTCAAGATCTTTAATGGAGTTTTGCTTGAAATCTCATTTTCACTCTTTTGTACAAATTTAAATACCCATATGAGGTCCTGCAGTGAACATAATTATTGAATTCCACTTATTTGAACATGGGGTAGAGAAGATCCATGCTATGTCTTTCTCTTATCCATCTTTCACCATTTTTTTTATAAAATGGAGAAGACAAATACCAGTACTTTCACTTGGACACGGTTAAATTTATCTTTGATAATCATTAGAGATTAGTTTAGTATGTTACATATTTTGGGATGATAAGATTTGATAAAACCACATGTTTGATGGGTCGTTGAGAATGTTAACATCGACGACATGGACATGACAATGAAGGCAAGGGTCCAACTACAAGGATGTTGTTCTTATTGTGGCAACTGAAGCTGTGTGAAAACGATAAAAAAAATACAGGGTAAGTGCGATGGTGATTTTAGGTATCAAGCAAGTAGACGTGTTAGTTGCAGTGGTGGCGAAGCCTGCTTGCTAAATTGACAATTTTGTTAATTTGGGTTTGATTTATTTGATTTGTATAATTATTTTTAATTAATTAAAATATTCATTCAAGTTTAACTAATAATTTTGAATATTTTTTTCTTTACTATTATTATTTAATCAATGAAATCATAAAATCTTAACTTAATTGATACTATTACTTTATCCCGGATATGATTTTCAAAAGCTTCATGACCGTTGTTTAACATGATCAATAAAAATTATTTATTCTCCATTAGTCAAGATCTTCATATAGTCATCTTCGATTATCAAAATTAACAAAGAACTCCTATCATCTATGTACAACCCTTAACCCAACTACAATACAAAAATAAGACATGACAGATTTACATGACTTATCAAAGTAAAATTTAAGATTGATGATCAGATCTATTTAGTTAGTTGACCTACGAATAGCCATAATTATCTTGTGTTTGACACAACCCGTTAGGGTCATTATAAATATCTAGTCAAGCTGCAATCTAAATACCATTTCTCATTCATCTTTTTTTTTATCTATCATAAAAAACATCGATTAATATTTGTTCTTTCATCGGTCACAACTCTTCATCTAATTTAAAAAGAATAAACCATTAACAATTGATGAGACAAATTTATTCTCATCAATATTATTATAATAACATATAGAGTCTTAACTTGATACTATTATATGTTGGAGAAGAAAGCAACATATTTCCCTCCAATTAAATATCATAAACAACAAGTACAATGAAAGTTTCAAAGAAAAAAACCCTAGTACCAAACAAAAGGGCATCAGATTCATGGGTAACAATGCCAAGAACTGGGCAAATGGATTGTTGCCACCTGTACATTTGTTGGAGGGGAGGCCTAATAGTGTATAAGATTGAAATATTATAAAGTAGCTAAGAGTTGGAAATGGGAGAAAAGGCAAAACCAACAAAGCAAAGCACGTTTCAAACTTATCATTATGCCCATCTATATACTGTACTTGTAGACATTGTTATGAATTACACCCATATTTATCCTACCAATCTTGAAATATTATTAATCATATATGTTTGCGCAAAATCATGTTGCTCTTGTGTGTGTATTTTATGTATATACCAGTAACCACTGATATATATATATATAAAGGGTAAATATATTGGTAGTCCCTAAACTTTTAGAGGAATTATATTTTAATCATTAAACTTTTAAAACTTGTATTAGAGTCGTTGAATTTTTTATTCGCTTTCATTTCATCATTATCCTCCAATAATATGACAACACGTGTTATCATTTTAATTGTGGAGAGTTCAAGAAAATGTGTATAACTTTGGAGAGGATCAAACCAGAGATTTTAGAGAAGGGACCCAACACATAACCATCGGACAGAACTAAAAAGTTATAGTGATATTGAAAAAAAATATTTAAACTAAACTGAAGTTGAAATTAGTTTCATTTATTTTATGAAAATATATTAATAGTAACGTAAATATATTATATTATTTTGTACTTTATGTTACGATGGATATATTTTCGTGAAATTATATTTAATATATATATATTATAACTCACTAGTTTGACTTGTTGATTTGGTGTTGCATCCCTCCTCCAAGATCATTGGTTTGATATTCGTTAAAGTCATACATATTTCTTTCAAGTTTTCACCATTAAAATGATAACACATGTTGTTTCCGTTATTGGTAACAGTAGTTCAGCTAACGATAGTAATCGAAATGAAATAAAATTAAAAGTTTAATGATTTAAATGTAAATTTAAAAGTTTGATAACTAAAATATAAACATTCTAAAAATCCAGGGACTACCAAGGTAGTTTACTCTATTATTAATCATATCGTACAAGTTTCATGCAAAGCATCATTGATTCAATTGCATATAATATGATGATAGTGGACCTTTTATTTTTCACCCTCAAAACCCCAATTTACCCACTCGAAAATACATTTTTATTTATTCCTTTAAAATTTTTAGTGTAAATCAAACTTCATATCGTCTTCCGCAAGTAGTCTGTAGGTGGGAACATTGGCGATTTTCCTGATATATTAACGTTGAACAGTATATTTTTTTATCAGACACCGTTCAGACTATATTTCCCGATCTAACATTATTTGTAGAAAGGCGCGGCCCCTGCAACGTGCTTTACGCTGATTTGGTGCCACGTGGGGTAAGGCGCGTCCTCTGAAGCGTGTCTTATGCAAACATGGTATACACGTATGTACAGGGGGTATAGCGCGATGCAGGGGTCGCGCCTTACCCCAAAATCTGCCACGCGTCAATAAGACGCGGCCCCTGCGGCGCGCCTTGGGTATAATTACCCAACTACCCCGACGTTTCACACCCCAATCCCTCCCTATAAATACCCCCATCCTCAATCACTTTCATCGCACCAAATTCTCTCAACTTCTCTCAAATACTCTTATAATCTCTGTCTAAGGTATATTTTATTATATTTTTAATATTTGTATTTAATTTATTTAAGTATTTAATTTATTTAACTAATTTTTTTTACAGATATAAAATGGAAGACGATCTACTTCGCTCGGATGGAAATCATATATCTCGACACTTTGCTGATACGATAACATTTTAACGTTTTAATTTAATTTAAATTATTAGTAATTATTTGTTGATTTATTTAATGCATAATTATTAGATTGAGAATTAATTTTTGTAATTATTTAATTTTAGGAGAAAGACCGTGTATTAGATCCATTTATTAGGAATCTTAAGTTAGTGATACATAGCCGTGTCTTGCCATATTTAGTAGAGGCTGGATTCGGTTACATAGGTAGATATCAGGGTCACTGTAAGATAGAACCAGACCTTATTTTTGCCTTAGTAGAGCGGTGGAGGCTGGAGACCCACACATTCCATCTTCCGTGCGGAGAGTGCACAATTACACTTAAGGATGTTGCTATGCACCTGGGGCTTCCGGTGGATGGAGATGTGATATCGGGGATCGCGCAGGGTTCCTGGAATGATTTATGTCGGGATAATCAAGGACGTGTCTCGGAAAGTTTTAACTATGGTCGGATACCGTTAAATTGGTTAAATACAAATTTTCGGTAGTTAAGCGAGGACGCGTCAGATGATGAAGTTAAAATGTATGCACGAGCATGCATACTGCA